TACTCAATTTTGGTGTAGTTAGTATAGTAGTAGAAAAGTGAAGTAAAAAAAATAAATATTTTAATTGCGGATGGCGTTTTTGCCTTATACTTGTTCACTTATAACTACAGGGAACTATAGGTTTAGTAATAAGTTAAACGTTTTATTTTATTCTGTAATTTATATACGACTGTTTGTTCCTCAACAAAAAGAAAAAAACTCTCTAATCTAACACTCCGTGGCCGAACGGCTACCATGCCTGACACGCAGAGGTCGCAGGTTCGATTCCCGGGGCGGGAGAAATATTTTTATGGCCTACATTTATTTCTCTCGTGAGTTTGTGTGTGAGGGTGTGATTTGTGGTTGTCTATGTGTGTGTCCATGGCACCCGCGACGAAGGGTTGCCCTAGTGCGGAGTTATGTTGAGCGTGTGCGTTGTTAACACAAAAATTATGCACTGGTAAACGATTCGCCCTAGTGAGTTTGGGAGCAGCCTTGGCAGCGTTGACTCTGAACTTCAAGTATCGTCCACTGCCTAACGTCAAAAAGCCAAGCGAAATCGAAATAGAAAAGAAAATACTATTCGTAATGCCGGGTGAAATTTGGGATATAATATCTAGAACATAAATGTAGAAGATTAGGTTTAAACATTTCCTTCCTTTTTGTATCATATTTGTTTACGTGTAACGTCTATCATGTGTGACGTTTGTTTGTCTTTTTGTAAATGTATTATTCTATGAATGTGTCAGTCAACGTTCATAACGCAAAATGTCCATTAAAAAATAAATGTAAGTAGGCGAAAATGAAGACTTCAGTACAAAATAAAATTTAGTTCTGCAACAGAACCGCTAGATGGTGTTATTTGTATCCTGAAACAAGCAACCGGGACATGTTCCTTTGAACAATAAAAGGATATCTGTCAAAGGTTTCTTCCGCAAACTGAGACGATGTTTATATCGAGTGTGTTGGGAGTGGCGAGATACCAGCCGTCATGCTGGTATGAAACATTAAGTAAGTACTGCGTTTTTGACAGTAGTATTTTACGTAATCGTTGCTTATTAAGCAACTAAGCACTAGGTTCTTAAAGTCGAGTATCGTGTAGTGGCTTAAGTAATAGGTACGAGGTATTAAGACCTAATTATGTAATGATTGCATACAATACTTTTTCTGCAAGTAAATTAAACACAACCAATATTTAAAGATTATTTTGTTAACAATCCAAGAGTAAATAAACGCTACAAAACAAAAACCAAAGAAATATTAAAGAAAAGTGCGTGATTGGTCAAGTACCGTTTATATTTTAACCAATCAGGAGACAGTAGAATGTTTGAGTAGCGTCATATTTGATATTTTATATTGTTTATAAAATAGTTAGTTTTTGACAAATGATTACGCCTTTGTACCTGTTATGTAACATTTTGAGATATTATTTAATAAAATAATTTGAATTTTAATAATTACTCGAAAATAGTGACGTTATTTTGTTTAAGAACATAGTGACGTGTGACGTGGCGACTCTTAAAAATACCATTTTAATGTAGCCTGAGAATACTTTAATGACATCACATTTATTTGAAATTATGTTTACAACCTGTTGGTACAATTAAAATAATAACATGACAAGCTCTGAGCGAGAGACGCGTAGGCGTTGACGCGACGAACAGGCGGGAGTTGAATTACTTGGGAGTTTTTCTTTCAAATTGACGGTTGTTAACTGTGTGTCGGAGGGGATCCGAAGCTTTTTCACGTGATTATGACGTTCTTCCCTTGAGTATAATTCTAATTTCTAGACTAAGACACATAACTGGTTGTAGCAGTAGAACTCCTGGTGACATAGTTTATCCAGGGAAGTACTGCCACCTTACCTATTGATGCCGCCAAGCAGTAATGTGAGCATTACTGCGTTCCGGTTTTGAAGGGTAGGGTTGTTGGTGAAATTACAGGCACATGAGACTCGTCAACTTATGTCTCAGGGTGACAGGCGCAGTGACGGTGCCCCTCAGATCTTCGAGATTTAAAACTCTGAGTGGCACTGCAACTGTTATGGACAAGCGTGTCGCTTAACACCAGACGCACGACTTGTTCGTCCTGTCACTTGATATTATATTAAACAAAAACTGAGAAACCACCTTCATTCGTTTCAATCGACCGACTAAAGTCAAATTAATTTGTTTTGACTTAAATTCTAGTGGCGTCTTTTTCCACGTTATCGTTATCTTTATATGTTCCAACATTATAAAACATTTGTTTCTTTTTTTACTTATGAGTTTAAGTCTGCCAATACTCGACTTGTTGGTTGGGACTTTGACTATGCTGACCCTTTGTATATTAATTGTCATGGCACCAGTTGAGTCAAGGTTTTGCTACTTGGAGCTGATTGTCTTTAGATTTGATGAACTGCCTCCCGTTCTTGTATCAACAACGTATTATCTGTTCTGTTAATACATAATAATGTCTATCTGAATTAACAAGTCTGCTTGTTTTGGTGGATTTTAATGGCACCTGTCTATACAATAGAAGTATCGGTGATTTACCTCGTCTTGGGTAATTTTCCGAAACATTTCAAATAGTGGGTTTTTTGTGAAAAAAAAAAACAGAAATGTATTTTATTCTATATGTAGACTTATCGTACAGCTCCGTCATTAAATTTTTAGAAATATTAGTATATTTTGTAGCTAAATCACGAAAAGATCCCTTGCATGAATATCAAAATGTGCAAAAGTTGACAGTTTTTTATCTACAGGATCTGAATTTGGCAACCTTCTTGGCATTTTTAACCGACTTAAAAAAGGAGGAGGTTATACGTTCGGCGGTATGAATGTCTTATGTATATTTTCCGATTTCTTCGTCAATAATTGTAGACAGATTTTGACAATTCTTTTTATTTGAAAGGGTGCACTCTGATGAGGGGATCCCATGGAAATCGAGAAAAATTCTCTAATTTTATAGGCATGGCAGTGTACTCACCGATTTCTCCATCAATTGTGGACCGATTCTGAAATTTTTTTTTTCAGAGTGTACTCTCGAGGTGGTCCCAGATGCCGAGGAAGCTGTTCCGGGTTCGTTTCGGCTATCGCAAATTATTAATTGTTTTCCGTAAATGAAAGTTGACTTTTCACTTGACACAATACATGTAATCAACAAATCACTGCCATCATGACTACCAGAAAAAAGTATAAAATGTACAAAGCAGGCCGTAACAGTCCCATTATCACCAAGAAGTCAGAGTCTGATGAGGGGATCCAATGGAAATCGAAATAAGTCGATACGCAAACTTTTGAGGTCAGTTTTTGTTTTTTCAATGAAAAAGTTACAATTATATAGGTTAGTGTTAGGAGAAAATAAATAATAGGATTATAATATACTCGTCTACAGCAACGAGTCTATTAAGCTTGTTCGAAAGAGAAACAAATATTATGATGTGTATAAAGTGGGTGATTTATGAGCGTAAGTACAATACGTTCCCCTGGTAGCCTGTACAACAGAATTTTCATTTTTGTTTAATAATGGCTTTGGATATAATAGAACATAAGTACTTAAAAAGTATTAACATGTTGATTAAGTCAGTATTGTGGACAAGCGTTCTCTGTTTTTAAAAAAAATAGATGACATAGAAATACCTGTTTTGTCAGCAGATGATGGAAAATGCAAAACTGTTCATTGATTTGAGTTTTATAAACGCAAATGCAAAATCGTCACCTTTGCAAGAATAACACTTAATGGTGCTATTTACTAAGGCAAAAATCCGAATGATGGTGTAGCGGTATCCAAAGATCTCAGGTTGACTTTGAACAAGAAAAAAGAAAGAGTTCGTCCAGGGAAGTACTGCCACCTTACCTATTTCTGCTGCCAAGCAATAATGTCAGCATTACTGTGTTCCGGTTTCAAAGGGTAATGTTATGGTTATGGTTAGGTTATGTGCCCTTCAGGTCTTTGTGATGTAAAGCTCTGAGTGACACTGCAACTGTTATGGACAGGCGTCTAGCTTACCATCAGGCGCACGACTTGTCCGTCCTGTCACTAGATATTGTAAAAAAAAGGCACACAATAAAAAAGAAAAGCTTTTGGTTACAATAGTTTCATTGTTTTCTGTGCTATTTGTACTCTGCTGCGTGATTGTATTATATTAATTTTGCCAAGGTACTACGTCCATCATAACCTTCTGTATTAATCTAGCTTAAGTTATTACCATAGTATTAATACTGTTCAATTGTTTGTAAAAAAAATATTTATAAAAAGTGGATATTTTAAGTAAACACTCTTCGTACACATTATTACTCCCAATACACTCAGATCTACCTCATCAATATCTACGATACATACTGTACAAGAAAAAATGTATTCCAATAGCATCGCGTCTTTGATACAGAACAAAATATGAACAACGTATAAAAAACCGAACTCTGGGGTTCATTACGAGAACGGTTCATCCGTTCACTGACTGCTTTGACTTTTGACTTTCCTTTGACTGAGTATTTATCCTTTACAATGTATGTTAATGTCCAGCAGTGGACGTCTTTCTACTGAAATGATGGCGAATGGATGCGTTTGCAATACATTGGAATTTGGAGCGGCGCGGGACTCTCCCGTAATTACATATAGTAAATTCTAAAAAAGATTCAGACAAAATATGCAAGAATTTCTGTAAAAACAATGAAAAACATGGACAATGTTTTGCTGCTGTCTTTTCCCTTTTATGTGTAGAGTTATTCGGTTCAAGCGTGTGCACTTTTGTAATTTAGGACTTACTGCAGATAAAATATAAGAGTTAGGAACATAATGGTATTATGTTTATTAGGCTCTAAGTTTAAATAAAACTAAAAACTTTAAACATGCGTTTATTTTGCCTATTAACAATAAACGATCCAAAATCGGAATGCGTTCACATGACTCGCATTGACGCAGACATGGGGTATGTGAGCGCATTGCTTGCTCATAGCAAAAATAAATAAAGTATTCTTTATTAAAAAACGTAGACATGTTATTTATTATATAGATTTTAAGACTTTCGTAGTTATTCACTAAATGATTATCACTAATATCAGATTTCTTACCACGGTATGACTTCTTTTTATTTTCCCGATTTTATTTTATTTTCCTTCTTTTTTTGATTCCGTGGTTGACTCAACTCATGGAGCGTGCAACCGTTCCGAAATATCGGGAAAATAAAAAGAAGATAGAACGTGGTAAGAAACCTGATATTAATGTTATTTATTATTATATAATAAATAGATCAGTCGAAATTATCACTAATTTTAAGTCGATAACATTTTGAGATTAATACACTTCTGGTGTAGGTACTATTAGGTACTATTTAGAACAATAATTCTTAGAACCATTCATACAAACAAACAAAATAATCAGATTCCTGTTAGAAATCATATTTTTCATATTACTCATTGTTTTTGAGTAGCGTGTCTTGCAAGCTTCAGGAGAGGTGAGACTCTTGAAAAATGCTGATTAAAATATTTAATGAGATCCTTTAGATACTTTAATTTGGAATACAATTTATAATTTGATGAACGTTTGATTTTTGATGTCTGAACGATCGATGTGATCGATGAGGGAGTGGTTGAAGCAACGGACCGCGTCACCCTTACGTCATAGCTGTCGCTCGCTGCACCCCCTCGCCGATCACAGGAAAATCTTCTTGTGGTGACAGCAGTGCCACTGTATGATTACTAAAGGGCGTCTTCTCTCACCGCCATCAGGTGGCGTTGGTGGCCCTCAACCTTGAAAGCACCCGCTTTCAAATTGGTGTGGTTGACTACAAAGTTGAGCTCTACATTATACTCTAATAAATACAGAAGAAGTGGTTAGTTATCGTGGCGCGCGTGCCAACTATAGGCATAGTGCAGCAAACTTGAGGTCAGTCCACCATTTTCGATTTGTACGTTAAGGCAAATTCTCTAAATCGTCTCCAAAAACGCGATATTGGTAGCAAAATGTCAGAAATTGAATATAACCTCATATTTTTTCTACAAATATAGCGTAAATATGTTCATAATTGAAAGAAAACACAACCGTCACAGTTACATTACCGTTATGCGATGTAGCTACTCGCACAATCTCAGCACAGAGTGCTAAAAAACCGTTCTCAAAGTTCGTGAAATTACATGTATTTGCGCGAAATCGATTCGGCGATTAATCGCCTAGTTTGCCACCGTTGCCTTTTTAACAAAAAAAAAACAAACATAAATCTATGGATGTAAACAGCAAAATCATATTTTTGCTTAAAAAAGCTTAACGGATCTGCAAGTTTGTTTCGTTTTCTACTACAGTTTTAAGCTTGATACAAGTAGGCATCTAGAAACAGATAATTTGTAGTAAATCATTAAATTACTTAAATATATTATTTTTAGGACAAGTTGTACGCGGAAGTGAAACAGTTACAAGAAAAATTTGGTGAATTGGACACGACCGTAATTGGTGATGCTCCGTTTTTGAATGCATTAATAAAAGGTTGTTATATTTGTTTCGTTTCTTAGTTAATCTTACTTGAGTGGTTTTATCGCAACGTACTCTTTAACTACTTATTTGATTTTCGACAGAGACTCTTCGATTTTATCCTCCAATTGGTTGGCTGGACAGAGTCTGCTCAAAAGACTACAAAATTGATGACAAGCTGACGATTCCTGCTGGCACTCCAGTTTACGTAAATGGCGTAGGCATGCAGATGGATCCAAAATATTATCCAGATCCGGAAAAATTTCATCCAGACAGATTTATGCCAGAAAATGAACAGAATATAGCACCTTTTACGTACATGCCGTTTGGTGAAGGTCCTAGAGTTTGTATTGGTAAGGATTTACTATTATAAATCTAGTCTATTCGTCGATTGCACGCTACGTCAATTAGTTTTGTGAAGCGTTTTGAACAATTGGCTTCGGCGTACACAGACTTCCACCATAATGTGGTTGTTTTTAGTAAAAAATATACCAAAGAATTTTGAATAGACAAGTGTATATGAAAAGACTAACGCAAATGCAGCACAATTTTCTGTTTTGTTAGTGAAGTTATTTCCGTTGTTGAATCCCTGTGTATCTTTCGATGTACCGTAAACTGACGAGGATCAGGTAACTGTTGCACAGAACTACGATTTTAGAACTTTGATACTTTGAACTTTGATGAAAAATGCTCGTAGTCTCCAAGAATAACATTTTTTCAATTATTTCGTAGGTAAAAGATTCGCCGAAGTGAGTTCGCGAGCAGCCTTGGCAGCGTTGACCCTGAACTTCAAGTACCGTCCGCTGCCAGACGCCAAAATCGAACTTGAAAAGAATGCATTGTTCCTTAAGACTGGGGAAATCTTACACTTAAAATATATCCAGATCAGACTGGGTTTTTACGATTGCAAATGGTCTGTAAAGAGACCGAGACGTTGGTTTGTTTGAAAAATATCAGACAACACATTTCCAATTAAAGATTAGGCTTAATCATGAGACATCGTCTGGGAAACCCAAGAGCCGGCAACTACCTTGCCCAACGCATTAGCATAGCCATGCAAAGAGAGAATGGTGCCTGCATCTTGAGCACCTTGCCGCGGGGATCAAATTTTATTCGTATAGTTTAACCCTAGTTTTAGTTTCTAGCATTTAAGCTTTTATTGTACCATACCTGTACACTTTAATTTGCTGTTTAATAAACAAATGTATGTCTATATAATATCATATAATCTTAATCAAAGGTTAAGTAACCTTGTGAAATGTCGACTAACAGAAATTTTAAGTATGGTTGTACATAGTGAATTAAATCAATAATTTATTATATTAAGGTTAGCTTCTATTATTTCGTATTCCCTTGAATGTTTTCTACGGATACGACAGATTCGAAATTGTCTTATATCTAAATGTCCCCATCAAGCCGTTTGTTTGGCGCTTCGGCTCCTAAAATCTGTCACAGGAACATATTATAATAATAACAGTGAGTGTGGGAAAGTAGTATAGGGCAGAGATAAAGAAATAATTTGCAATAACGTTTTCTGTTTACGTATATTGTTTTTACAAAAGCTTTTTTTAATAGTACAGTATTCTCGGCAGTTGCATTGCATCTTAAATTCTGTAAACCACTGAACCTTTTGAACAGAAGTCCTTTTTGCAGATAATCTGTACCTTATGTATGAATAAAATCATTAGTTATATCTATTATATCTATTCTTATTATGTGTATAATTATATTATAATACTAATTACATTACACAACATTAAATCCTCTTTACAGTCATAACTTACACCTACAGCTGTAATTATATTCACATTTGCTCATGCACTTATATGTCAAGCAGGTTATTTTAAATGCACTATTTACACTTTACTATGTATATTATTATTGTCAATGTATAACTTTACTCGAAGTCGTTATATTTTTGCTTTCTAATAACTTAATCCCTCTCGTTGGTTCTGACTGAAAACCAGCGCCTTAGGAAACCTTGGCATATGCTGAGTCAGCGCCGTTTCACTGCTATGACAATCATGTTTTGTTTTTTCTTTTATGCTAAATCTGTATTTGTGTTATATCAGTGAATAAAGTGTTTATCTATCTATCTATCTATCTATCTAGTTTTGTTAACTGAGGTTCTAAAGCGCACATAACCAGCTTTGTGTCACAAAGCGAAAACTTCATTGCGTATGAAGTATGGCTACCAGACCCTGGATGAAAAATCATGACATAAATCTCAATTCTTTTAACAACATCATTACAAGACAGTGACGGAACTGGACATAGTATTAGTGCATACAGCCAAGGAAGACTATATTATGAAAAATGAACACATGCTAACGACAGCAGCGCCCTTTACGACCTCACCCAGCTTGAGCTGTCAAACTGACGTGGTGTTTGTAAAGCAGCAGGTTGTTGTTGTTGTCTGGAAATCAATAGAATCGAGAGTAGTTATTTATTTCTTTATTTATTACGTACAAAATTCATGCAAGGAAACAGAATACAATTTCTCAACAAACTGCGAAAACTGTCAAACTCACAATCACAAAACAATCACAATACTATAGTATATCTAGTACGAGCACATTTTTTTTAATATCACGAGACGGGGCGAACAAGTCGTGCGTCTGATGGGAAGCTACACGCCTGTCTGTAACATTTATCATTACAACTTTTTACCTTACCCTCTTTAGAATAAAAAAAGAATCATCAAAATCACAAATGCCGCGTAATATACATACAAAAAATAGTCGAATTGTGAACTTCCTCCTTTTTTGAAGTCAGTTAAAAAGCAGTATAGATTTTAACTAAATTTACATGCTTTCAAGAAATATCAGTTTTTTTTTCTTCAAAATGAATTTACGTAATAATTGTTTGCCTCTTAAAAATCTAATTTCTTAAATATAATTGGCAAGTAATGTCTATCTGTTATTTTTACGGGCGTCCTTAGTATTACGCTTGTTCGTTACGTTAATTTAAATTCACATTTATAATAGTTTTCATTAGCGGTCAAATATTGAACAGTTGCTTTTGCATTAAGTATTATACAGTAGGTAAATAGTTTATGGTTTTACGACCTATTAAATATTTCAAAAATCCTACTTGTAGCATTTTTACGTCACTGAAATATGATTCAAATGTTCAATAATTAGACTAAAGCACGAAATAATATTACTTAAAATTCATCATTTCTAAAGCACATTTTGAAACTAATAAACCAAATTATGTAACATTACGTCTGAACTGATAACTGTCTCCGAAATTACATGTGCTTATATTGTCTAATGCTATTTGTAGAATTATTTAATACTGTATACAGATTTCCAGAAATAAACAATAATATTAAGTACGGTTATTTAGATAAATAATAGAAAATATTATCATTTGCTGGCCGACACTAGCTGTACCTGGAAATATGTGCTTTTTGTATATGTTTCTTCCATTTATGAATTCATAAGCCTCTGAAAATATGACATAACATTTTTTGTGTCCATTTCACAGAAATGTAACTTTGATTACTGTGGTCCACTTAATATAGTTTACTGTGTGTTAACCACTTTGTTGTGTGTACATTGAAAATAATAACTCATCTGTCGACTGCATTACTTAGTATAGTGACAGATGTGTATGTACTTCAGTTAATACTGTATTATAAAGTATTAATACAAAGATTGAACACTTAAAAAAACTTTCTTCCAAAGCGTGATAGCCGCTATGCCAACTAAGCCACGGAACGAACCAGCGGACCTCACGAATTTTTCGATGTGCTTGTTGTGGGACATTTGTATTTGGTTTTCAACGACTTTTTATCTATGAGAAATCTATGAAAGTATTTCGTCACCCAGTTTCGTCACCCGTTACAGCTACCAGCCTGTCTAGAGACTGTTTTTCAGAATGATATTCAATTTTTTTTTGTGAAATTACTCCACTGGTTTGTTATAATTATTAATACAAGATCGAACACATAGAAATGAAATCTTTCGAATTCAATTTTCAACATTCAATAAAAAATTAATTAATGCTATGCCATAAACATAATAAAACCTTTTTCTGACGAGTATTATGGTGCTGGATATTTAGACAAAGACTGAATATGGTAATTATTATGTACTTCTAAATGTCATTTAGAATTATATAATAATTCCACCGTGTCACACTGCCTTACGAAACTTAAAATTTAGGAATTCGTGGGAATCTGTACAGGTGTATCAAATCCTACCTCAGTAATTTGTTTTCAGGTCGTCACGTCGTTATAAATGGTTTCTGATCAGACTGCGTAGTAGAGGCGAAGCTGCAAAGCCTTGAGAAACTTTTTTTATTGTGACACCAAGTGACGCGATGAACATGTATACGTAACTCGCCTGTTATGTAGTTGCAGTATTAGAGTTATAACAAAATCGGTCACTGCCACTACGCCCATCACCCTGTCACTTAAGTTGACACTTAATAGCCTATGTACTCTGTATGGGTAATTTTCAAGCAAGTTTTCTCTGACTAATTTCGGTGTCAGTTTTTATTATTTAAATATTCTAGACTATTATCATGAAGTTATTACTTAGTTGATATTCGTTTTGAAAATAATATTATTGCGCGTATTTCAAGAACTGGCGGGAAAGTTTTAAGTTATAATTCTTATGAAACTCCCTGAACTCGTAACTCGTGAATCGTAAAGGCGTCGTATTTCATTACGATAATGTTATGCTAAACCACACACCGCCGTCCAAAACTATTGCGTTTAAAAAAATCTTTCAATGGACACGGCTTTCATAATAAAAAGGAGACAAAATGTCCCAAGTCAACCTATTTAAACGTAGTGACATGTCAAGGAATATGAAAAAGCTAAAACGTTGAATTTAAATTGTAATGTCATCGCAGTACTGTCTAATTTTGCTTGCTTCGCTGTCAGTCGAACAAACGAAGACCAAAGCGTGAATGACGCTCTGTATACGATTTTAACGCCCTATAAGTTCGGACACTTTTTAGCGCGGACCCGACGTCCATATAATTGTAAGTCAATGAGTAAAGACAAGAATTTTTATTCGAAATTCACTCAAAAGATGGCAAAAGCTTGTAGATCAACATGGCCAACATATTACCATATTCAATTGTTGTATCAGAGATATTTGTACGGCCTACATTTATTTCTCTAGTGAGTTTTAGTGTAATTTGTGGTTGTCTACGAGTGTGTGTCCATGGCACCCGCGACACAGGGTTTTTCTTGTGCGAGGCTATGAGTGTGTGCGTTATTAATTTATTTATTTAATTATGTTTTAACTACATTTGACGTGTAGGTGATTTGTTAGTGGTTTCAATTTTACAGACAAAATTCGGAACAGCTTAGTGAGGTTGTGATATAAAAGATGAAGTGTTGATTAGGATAGAAATGGGAATGCTACGATAGTTCATTTAGGTCATATAGAAAGGATGAATTGGTGCAAATTGAAAAAATAAACAGAACATATTAAGGAAAAATGTGATAGAAAGTCTCAAAATGTACTGCCAGGTCAGGAAAAAGTCCATTTACAGCTTCGGAAGATTATAGAAGGGTTGAGCTTATGAACTGTGATGAACGTTCTTATGTCAACAAAGCCTTTTATGTACAACGATTTGCACGTTGACGAAAATAATATATCTAAAGTAATATTCAAAAAGAAAGTAAAAGAGAAATTGTTATCACAAATCCGTGATTAGATATAGATCAAAGTATTTTCGTATATGTAAAGTGTTCTGCATATATAATATGTGTACGATAGGCAGGTAAAAATCTACCGTTTGTAATCATACTTTGAATTTATAGCTAATTTTTTTTTATTTTAACGCCTTATTTGTTTTTTTTTATAAAGCGAATTTGTGGTGGAGCGAGGTACACCTCGGCGTACATACATATCTCCTTCAATTCAGGTATGTTCTTTTAAAAGCCATGAATTATGAGGAGGCAAAACGAAATAGGGTCGTT